TTTAATAGGAATGTAGATGTATAGCCTATATCAGATTGCGCTTAGTCCTGGGAAAGGAGGTGGGGAGGGAGGGGGAGAAAAATTTAAAACTCAAAAGCTTATGGAAGTGATTGTTGATAAATAAAAATAAATTAATAAAGTTTTAAAAATTTTTTAAAAAAAGAAAAAAAGAATAGGGCTGATGCTGAGACTGGCTTGAACTTTGTGCTCAGTCTTGTTCAGACCCCACCCAACTGGGGAGGCCCATTGAGTTCTACTCAGACTTGGGGGGAGAGGTAGATCTTTTGTTTGATTGCCCAAGGCTGGGGTGGGCAAGCAATTCAAAATACACGTGTAGTCATGTAGAACGTTTCCATATTAGTCATGTTGTGAAAAAAAAACAGACCAAAACCAAGCCAAAACAAACCTCAAGAAAAATTAAGAAAGTAAAGAAAGACGTATGCTTCAATCTGTATTCAGACACCATCAGTTCTTGTTGGGGGATAGCGTTTTTTGTGATAAGTCCTTCAGAGTTGTCTTGGATCATTGTGTTGCTGAGAAGAGCTGAGTCATTCATAGTTGATCATCACATAATGTTGCCAGTATTGTGTACGGTGTTTTCCTGGTTCTGCTCATTTCACATTGCATCAGTTCATACAAGTCTTTCTAGGTTTTTTCTTAAATCTACCTGTTCATCCTTTCTTATTGCACAACAGTATTCCATTCCACATTCCATTCTCTACCAGTTTGTTCAGCCATTCCACAATTGATGAGCATCCCCTCAATTGCCAATATTTTGCCACCATGAAAAGGGCTGCTATTATTTTTGCACATGTGGGTCCTTTTCCCTTTTTTATGATCTCTTTGGGGTACAGACCTAGTAGTGGTATTGCTAGATCAAAGGGTATGCACAGTTTGGTTGCCTTTTGGGTATAGTTCCAATTTGCTCTACAAAATGGTTGGATCAGTTCACAACTCCACCAGTAGTGCATTAATGTCTCATTTGCCCCAAATGCCCTCCAACTTTTTCCTTTTCTGTCCTAGGTTATGAAGGTAGTGCTTTCAGAATTGTTTTAATTGACATTTCTCCAATCAATAGTGAGTTAGAGTATTTTTTCATATAGCTGTAGATAGCTTTGCTTACTTCATCTGAAAACTTATCATACCTTTTGATCATTTATCAATTGGGGAATAGCTCTTAATTTTTCTAAATTTGACTCAGTTCTCTATGTGTTTGAGAAATGAGATCCTTATCAGAGAAACTTGCTTCAAATTCTTTTTCAGTTACTATTGCTAACTATATTTCCCTCCATCTTATTCCTTCTCTCTCCTTTCACTGTCCCTCCTCAAATGTGTTTTGCTTCTGACTACTCCTCTTCCAATCTACTCTTCCTTCTATCACCCCCCTTCTCTTATTTCCTTCCCCTACCATTTTCCTGTAGGGTAAGATTTATCTCTATGCCCAATTGAGTATGTATGTTATTCCCTCTTTGAGCCAACTCTAATGAGAATAAACTCCACTCCCTCCCCCTCATTTCACCCTTCTTCCCCTCCACCATAAAAGCTTTTTCTCACCTCTTTTATGTCAGATAATTTACCCTCTTTGTCTTTCTCCCAGTACATTCCTCTCTCACCTCTTAGTTTTATTTTTTTAGATATCATCACTTCATATTCAACTCACACCTGTGCCCTCTCTCTATATATATTCCTTCTAACTGCCCTAATAATGAGAAAGTTTTTATGAGTTATAGGTATCATCTTCCCATGTAGAAATGTAAGGAGGTCAACCTTATTAAGTCCTTTTTGATTTCCCTTTCCTGTTTACCTTTTTATTGCTTCTCTTGAGTCTTGTATTTGAAAGTCAAATATTCAGTTCAGCTCTGGACTTTTCATCACGAGTGCTTGAAAGTCATCTATTTGATTGAATGTCTATTTTTCCCCTCCCCCCCAAGAAGTTATACTTAGTTTTGCTGGGCAGGTGATTCTTGGTTGTAATCCTAGCTCCTTTGTCCTCCAGAATATCATATTCCAAGCCCTCCAATGCTTTAATGTAGAAGCTAAATCTTGTATTATCTAGACTATGGTTCTGCAATACTTGGATTTTTTCCTTCTGGCTACTTGCAATATTTTCTCCTTGACCAGGGAGCTCTAGAATTTGGCCATGATATTCCTGGGAGTTTTTGTTTTAGGATCTCTTTCAGGAGGTGATCAGTGGATTCTCTCCATTTCTATTTTGCTCTCTGGTCCTAGAATATCAGGGCAGTTTTCCTTGGTAATTTCTTGAAAGATGATGTCCAGGCTCTTTTTTCTTTTGATCATGGCTTTCAGTTAGTCCAATAGTTTTAAAATTCTATCTCCTGGATCTATTTTCCAGGTCAGTTGTTTTTCCAGTGAGATATTTCACGTCATCTTCTATTTTTTCATCCTTTTGGTTTTGTTTTTATTTCTTTATTTCTCATAAAGCTATTAGCTTTCATTTGCTCAATTCAAATTCTGAAGGAATTATTTTCTTTAGTGAACTTTTGCACCTCCTTTTGCATTTGGCCTATTCTAATTTGTTAGTAATTTTAAAAACATTTTTATTTAACATTTTGAGTTCCAAATTCTATACCTACCCCACCTCCCTGAGATAGTAAGCAATCAGAAATAAGTGATTTTCTTAGGGCTGGGTTATTTAATCTGACCATGCACACAAATCTGATTTCCTGTTTGAATTGAGCAATACAATTCTATCATTGTGGAGGGCACAGATCTTTTCTTCTGACCTTTCCCCATTCTTTTTTAATTGAATTGAAGGTTTCCTTAAAGGAATCCAAATTACAAGAGGCTTCTCTTTGGTGGTTTTGAGTAGCCATTTATTAAAAGCATCCCATCTTCTCAGCTTCATCAAGACATTTCTTAAGGTAATTTATTTTATCCTGATCAAAAGAACTCCACTTTAAAAAAAATCTTTATTTTAAGTTTTCAACATTCACTTCCATAAGATTTTGAGTTTTAAAATTCCTCTCCCTCCCACCCCTCCTCACTCCCCAAGATGGCATGTAACCTGATAAAGGCTCCACTTATACATTCATGTTAAACATATTTTCACATTAGTCATGATGTATAGAAGAATTAGAACTAATGGAAGGAACCATGAAAAAGAAATAAAACAAAACAACAAAGGAAAAGGAGAGCAAATAGTGTGCTTGGATCTGCATTCAAAACTTCATGGTTCTTTCTCTGGATGTGGACAGCATTTTCTATTATGAGACTTTCGGAGGTGTCTTAGATCCTTGCACTGCTGAGAAGAGCTAAGTCTGTCAAAGCCAGTCATCACACAATGTGGCTGTTGCTGTGTATAATGTTCTCCTGGCTCTGCTCATTTCAATCAGCATCAGTCCATACAAGTCTTTCCATGTTTTTCTGAAGTCTTCCAGCTCATCATTTCTTATAGCATGATAGTATTCCATTACATTCATATACCACAACTTGTTCAGCCATTCTCCAACTGATGGGCATCTCTTCAATTTCCAGTTCTTTGCCACCACAAAAAGAGCTGCAATAAATATTTTTGTACATGTGGGTCATTTTCCCATTTGTATGATCTTTCTGGGATACAGACCTAGAAGTGCTATTGCTGGGTCCAAGGGTATGCACAATTTTATAGCCCTTTGGGCTTAGTTCCAAATTGCTCTCCAGAATGGCTGGATCAGGTCACAACTTCACTAATGATGTAGTCTGCCGACCTTCTAATGACAACAACCTCTTTCTTTCTTTCTTACTTTCTTTTTAGGCAATTGAGGTTAAGTGACTTGCCCAGAGTTACACAGTAAGTGTCAAGTGTTTGGTCTGAAGCTGGATTTGAACTCAGGTCCTCCTGACTTCAGGGCCGGTGCTCTATCCACTGCACCACCTAGCTGCCCCTGAGAACACCCTCACCCTCACCCTCACCCTCATGCAGCTCATAGATGCAGCTCACAAACCTCTTTGCGGTTGCTGACATCAGGGGTCAGTAGCGCAATCAGTTCCTTGTTAACCATACCTGGAGTTAGACTCAGAATAATAGTTCATTAGCAGTCCCCAAGGTCTTGGATAACAAATTCTCCTCATCAGGACTATAGTTTCACATTAATTAGTGAGATCTAAGTAGTTTGCATAACTTCCTACACATGTTCTGCTTCCTAATAACATCCTGAATAAAATCACTACCCTAGATTTCCCTTTCTATTTCTCCAGTTTATTTATCCCTCTCTAACTATTCTTAATCTGAAAGAATGAGACACTTTCAGGACTTGAATCTTATACATATAAGTTCAATCAGTAATTTTAACTCTTGCTACTTACAGCTTATTACAGAAATTTAGATGCTTTAGTATTAATCACTAGCCTTAGATCTGTGATGTTGCTTCCATTGAGACTATTTCTCTAAATGCACCCAGTTAAATCCAATCCAAAGACATAACAAACCCAGAAATGAAACTCTTAAGTTCATAGTGGGTTTGGACATAATTTTCTTACAAATAGAAATTTAGTTGGCCCTCTAAAGGACTATCAAAGATTTCATCAAAACTTTTCTTCATAAAATTATATCCCTTTCTTAAAAACAGCTCACAATTCCCTAATTATTATAAAATTCCTATTTACTTAAATTCTCTAGTCAAAAAGGTGTCTGAATGAGCCACTTATTCAGTAAGAGTTCCACAACACAAAACTCCAGCACAAGTTTGATAAGAATTGTGAAGTTTTACAAAAAAAATTTTTTGCATAATTATCAAATTTCTTTTCACACACACCAAAAATATTTTTACCAGTACTTCACTTAAACAATAACTCCAAATAGCTTAGTTAACAACTCTAAACTTCCTAAGTGGGAGCCAAATAATCCCAGCTAAAACTTTCCTTTAAATATAGACAAAACTTGGAAGTTCTCATTTCTTAAGTTACAGTACTTATGATGAGGTCTAGAGGTTTAGGGGTACTGGGACCCCAAGATCACAATACACGGGCCCTGTTTGAATGAATTCAACCCAAATCTTCTTTCAGCCTGAGAAAAAGTTTATTAGAGATAAACCATACAGGCCAGACTCTTAAGGAATCTGAACATTAGTGATGCCTGTAAAGATAGCCTGGCATGAGAAAGTCCCAGCATTTAAATGGGGGCCAGGGTAGATCTTATATACATTAGGGTAACTTTGGGTGACCAGAGGAGGGGCTGGGAAAAGGATCTAGATGGCTTAGGGAGAATTCTGATTGAAATGTCTAAGAGATTGAATGGACAATGGAAATACATAATGAAGGGAACTGGAAGAAAGAAGTTTGAAAGGCATCTGAATAAGATCAAAAGGTGGGGCTAGGCTTTCAAAGGGACCTAAGGGGAGTAGATAGGGAACCATTAGTTTCCAGAGTAAGAAAAGTTTAAGGGCCCTCTGGGGCCATAGACAAATGGGAGCCAAATTCTTTTTGGGGCAAGGGGCAAAGGTCTCGACTTGGGCCCATACTCCATCACTTAAAAGGAAATATTACAAAATGGCATCTTGTAGAATGCCCCAACAGCCTGACCCATTTTTTTCTTTTCTCTGAAGGCATAATTTTTAATCTAATAACATTCCAAATTACAAAATGAATTGCCTTTCCAACAACAAAACTAATACATTTGCTTACCAGACTACATAATATAAGAAAATTCAGAAATATGTAAGCAGTATATTAAAAACTCAAAATAGACCCCCAAAAAAACTTTCTTTCTGGACCTCTTCACCAGGTCCAATGATCTTCTGGGGCCACTCCCACCCCAATAGACTGGCTTTTCTCTATTATCTGTGCTAGCCCATCATTGTCTGTTACTGGTCTGATAGCCTCAGGCCACATCCAATTTCCAAGTCCCATCCAGATTGAACCTCAATGACACAAAGATGGCGGCCTAGACTTCCCCATAACCACTAGTCCATGCCTGAAGAGCCTGGCCCATACAGCCCATCCCCCAATAAACCTAATCTTTTAGCCTAAACAAGGACTGGGTTGAAAAAAAATTTTTTTTTCCTCAAAATTTCTAATTGAGGCCCTGATATATGAGAGAATAACTCATTAATTCCAAATCAATACATATCAATAAGTATTTCACCAGAAAATATGTTTGTACCACAGGAAATACATTATAAAATTATTTCCATCATAGTAATAAACTTTAAAATAACCCATTAGATAGATGCATGCACTTCCAAATCACTTTGCAGAGAATCATTCATCTCATCATTAATGTGCTGAAACTATAACCTTAAACCACCATATATTTTTATAATAGTCAAGATTTTAAATGAAAATCTGCTATCATAGTAGATAACAACATCATTATTACTTGCTTATAACCAAATATACCTCAATAGGTATTTAACAGTTTCAAATTATCTCATTTTTATCACTAAAATGTCCATTCCAGGTCAAGAGTTACTTTAATACCATTTCTACCTCACAATGGTCCCTCAAATTTTACAGTCTAAGAGTTTTAGAAATACAATACAGTTTAGAAACATAGTAATAACTTTTATAACACAAACAATGAACTTCAGATAATATCAATTGCATTTCCAGATTACCACATATAGAAATCATCGATCTTATTACTCTTAGTACTTTTAACAGTTATGTTAAATAATAATACCACGTCTAACATATGCAATTGTATTAAGCATTTTACAATCATTATATCATTTTTCATAACAATCATTATTATTAAATTTTTTTCTTATAGAACAGTAAACTTAAATCAGATCCGAATTTATAAATGCTAATGATAAACATTTAGAAACATTTTTATTTTAAATCCAATATTCTTGGCCCTTTAAAAGGAGATACTCTCCACACATTTATGTATTCCTTTCAAAGGGCACATGGTTATAATTCCTGTTCTAAATAATTCTTTCTCTTTTTCCTTCCTACTTCCTTAAGGGAGCAAAGAAAAATCCAAAACTCCTCCCACCTTCTCAACATGCTTAAACCATCTTAAGCTGGCCCAAAGGCCCCCAGGACAAGCATCCAAGGGTGGTAAACTTAAGGTCAGTTTGGATTTACCAAGACACAAAACCATCTCCTGGAGGAGTCATTGAAGACCCCTGTGACAGTCCAGTACCCCTGCTCACATGTGACAAGCATCCCTGAGGCATCTTATTTTATTCACTTTTTGGTGAGGCAATCGCCCAGGGTCACACAGCCAGGAAGTATCATGTGTCTCAGGTTGGATTTGAACTCAGGTCCTCCTGACTCTGGGCCAGTGCTCTATCCACTGTGCCACCCAGATGCCTCTTATGTAGAATGCAGCTCCTTCAGATTCCCCTTCCAGGCTGATAGAGCTGGAGCAACCATGCGAGGCCGTTTGGATAGAAATCTCAGGGCAGCTGCTTTTTTCAGATGATGGTTCAGCGTTATCTCAAGTCCATCAGAGGAATCCCTTCCTCTTCACCATTGAATGTTGGGTCACAAAAGTCAGGAGGCAGAAATGAGGACAAGTTAATGAGAAGTTTCCTGATTGTCACATGTGGTAGCCTCAATGCGTGCTGATACACACGTGTAGGTGGCCTGCAGGAGACCACAAAATTCTCCTAAATCTCCTCAATTTTCATACTCTTGATCAAACACCTCTGATTTTCTCCCTTCACCAAACATTGTTCCCCAGATGATATAATGTTGACAGAAGTGCTTTTCCTTGTTCTGAAGACATTCTGTTTGTGAGAACATCCTGACGGCTGCTTTCACACAGTGAGGCGGTTCATGAGCAATTCTACTGCCTCCTTTTGCTGTTTTGCTACCTGGTGGATCAGTATGAATTATTGTCCCTTATTTCACCCTTCTGTTAGTCAGGCACAAAGTTTAACTCTTCACCGGGGACCTCCATCTTCTAGAGAAAGACCAGTCCCCATGGAGCACACCCATAAGTCTTCTTTCCAACATGAATCCTCTGATGTGAAGTCAGAGCTGATCTCTGGCTGAAAGCCTTCTCACATTGAGTCTGCAAATGGCTTACACCCAGAATGAATTTTCTGCTAAGAAGGTCTGTACTCTATTTTAATTGAAGCCTTTCCTCATTCGTGTTAGTGACAAGATTTCTGTCTCCTAACAAAAAAGTGACTTTAAGTTTTCTCTCTAGTATGGCTTCATTGAGGTTTAACAAGATTGGAATTGTCTCTGAAAGCCTTTCCACACTGATTACATTCCTAAGGTTTCTACCTAGTGTGAATTCTCTGATATATGCAGTAAGACTATTCTTATGTCTGAAATTGAATACATTCCTAAGGTTTTTCTCCAGTGTGAATTTTCTGATGGTTAGTAAGAATGGAGCTGTCTCTAAAAGCCTTTCCACACTGAATGCATTCATAAGGTTTTTTCTCCAGTGTGGATTCTTTGATGGTTAGTAAGAGTGGACCTGTCTCTAAAAGCCTTTTCACGTTGATTACATTCATAAGGTTTTTTTCCCCGTGTGGATTCTCTGATGTTTAATAAGACTGTTCCTACTTGTGAAAGCCTTTCCACACTGATTACATTCATATGGTTTTTCTCCAGCATGGATTCTCTGATGTATAGTAAGGTTGCCCTTCTGTGTAAAAGCCTTTCCACACTGATTACATTCATAAGGTTTTTCTCCAGTGTGGATTCTCTGATGTTTAATGATATGGGAATGGTTTCTGAAAGCCTTTCCATACTCATTACATTCATAAGGTTTCTCTCCAGTGTGGATTCTCTGATGTCTAGTAAGACTGTTCCTACATATGAAAGCCTTTCCACATTGATTGCATTCGTAAGGTTTCTCTCCAGTGTGGATTCTCAGATGTTCAATAAGATGGGAACAGATTCTGAAAGCCTTTCCACACTGATTACAATCATAAGGTTTCTCTTCAGTGTGGATTCTTTTATGAGAGCAAAACTGCTCCTCTGAAGGAAAAATTTTCCACACTGATTACATTCATAAGATTTCTCCCCAATGTGGGTTCTCTGATGTACAGTAAGAGTGAACATATGTGTAAAAGCCTTTCCACAGTGATTACATTCAAAAGGTTTCTCTTGTCAGTGTGGATTTTCTGATGTACTGTAAGACTGGCACTCTGTGTAAATGCCTTTCCACACTGATTACATTTATAAGGTTTTTCTCCAGTGTGAATTCTCTGATGGTTAGCAAGAGTGGCCCTTTTTAGGAAAGATTTTCCACACTGATTACATTCATAAGGTTTTTCTCCAGTTTGAATTCTCTGATGTTGACCAAGAGTGGAGCTATCTCTAAAAGCCTTTCCATGTTGATCACATTCATAAGGTTTCTCTCCAGTGTGGATTCTCTGATATAGAGCACAGATTTAGCTCCAAGTGATGTCACAAGGACCATCATCCATAGATCTTTGCTTCTGAGTTTCTTCCACAGAAAGACTTAGCTCTGCTGTAATTTCCTTCACTTCCAGTCTGATCTCTTCTTCTGAAAGAAAGAAGCAATAAAACATATACGCACATTATTATATCCCCTTCCCTCCATCAGCAAAAGATAAACTCCCTTACATTCTCTTTCCCTAGACAATGAGAAAAGTCTTCAAAAGCCAAATGGCAGAACCAATTATTTCAAAATGCCATTAGCTCTCGTCCCAGGGATGATTTAATTTACAAAGAGCTTCACACACAGAGAGCTCTGAGGCAATTGGGGTCAAGTGACTTGTCCAGAGTCACACAGCTAGTAAGTGTCAAATGTCTGAGGCTGGATTTGAACTTGGGTCCTCTAGATTCCAGGGCCAGTCTCTATTGATTTCACCACCTTGGCCTATTAATTTTTTGGGATAGCCATTACTTATTTTTTTTTAGTAGTCTCTAAATGCCTTTGATCACTAAAATAAAAATAAAATCCTTGTAGTAATGATTGCCCATGTATAACCTATATCAGATTCCTTAACATCTCAGGGAGTGGAGAGGGGAAGGACTGAAAGGGTTTGGAATTTAAAATTTTAAAATAGTTTAAACATCATTTTAATATTCAATAGTGAAAAATAAAATCTTATAAAATCTGTTTGTACTAACATTTATCCCCTGGGACAGCAAGCAAATCAGGTCTTCCTGCCCCTAAATCTAGCACTTGCTTCACCGTAACACACAGCAGCCTCTTGTAATCAAAGCTGTCACATACCTGCTTTCACCTCACTCACCTGGACAGCGGCTCCTCAGGTCTTCTTGCTCCAGCATCCATGGTGCTTCCCTTTGCTCAAAATAAGAGATCACATCTTCTCTGGGAACTGCAAGCCCTGGGCATGGGAGTCAGTTAGGCTTGAGCGTGGAGAGAAACTTGTAATTTAGTTCACTTTAGGGAGAGGAGTGTGGGCACAGAGCTGCTCCACTTTGAGAATCACTCCATTCTGGCCACACATAGGAGTTTGTACTGACCCATCAGAGCTTGTGATGCAAGTAACCCAAAATGGGACGTGTTGTACAACAGCCAAACCCTCTGCCCCCCATTCTGTTATGCTCCATTCTGGCAGAAACTCCTAACCCTCAAACTGGCTCAAAGTGTAATTGTGCCCCAGCTCCAGGGACCTTGATGAATCACCCTTTGCCCTGTCCTCCTGCACTGGCTCCTCACTCCCTGAAACCCATAGATCCCTTGTGTACTGTTCATTCAGGGAGCGTTTGCCCCTTTGGGTGAGAGGAGGGGGAAAAGTCACGGAACCGGTTTGGAGTCAGAGAATTTGATCTTGTGCACCTTCTTCATAGAAGGATGGACTCATTGCATAGTTTCCATTGTCTAGAAATCAGAGGCAGCTGATGGTGCAGTGGAGAGAGCCCTGGGCCTGGAGTCAGGGTTGCCTGAGGTTAAATCTGGCTTCAGACAGATAGTAGTGTGCCCCTAGACAAGCCACTTAACCTCAGCTTCCCAAGTGTAAAATGGGCATAATAATATCACTCAACTTCAAAGGTTACTGTGAAGATAGAATGACATAATATCATGAGGAAAGCGCTTTTCCCAGCACATGGCAAATAGTGGGTGAATGTAAATGCTTATTCGCTTCCCTTCCTTTGCCACCATCTGTGCTGGAATTTTGGGGCAACATGAAGGAAGATGAAGGACAAATCTGTACCCAGGCCACAAGACAGAGCTATGAGCCACCAATGTCTGCTTGTTAAACAGAAGACTATTCCAAATACTAGATCCATCCTGGGGAGGAAGGGGTTGCAAGGAAAAGCTGGCTGAGCAATTCTCAGAGATTTGGCCGACAAAATTCATGTCCAGCAAGAGGTTAGACCAAATAACCTCCAAGATTAGTTGGACATCTGAGATTCTTCCACACCGATTGTGTCTCTGACCGGAAGCTACGTAGATTGGTGAGAGACAGCATCAGGTGCAGCAAAGGAAACCCTCAGGGTCCTTGCACAGAATGCAGAGACTTCTTATAGGAAAACCAGGGAGTATGTCTCTTGGCCACAGGTGACCAACACTTTTCTGTGTCTAATGATCGATAGATCCTCCAAACCCTGCACACTAGGGAATGAAGATGTTCCCTTTGCTTGCAGACTCAGAGTTACCAGGGGAAGTGTCCTTACCCAGGGAGAGCAGGTTCCAGGCATTCTCCAGCATGACCCCCTTGTACAGCTCCTTCTGAGGAAGGTCCAAGAGGCCCCACTCCTCCTGGGTGAAGTCCACAGCCACATTCTTGAATGTCACTGTCTCCTAAATCATCAAAAGTCATAAGCCATAGAGCTTAAAGACACTGCAGAGGTAAATAGTCCAATCCTCTTTGATTTATAGGAAGAAACTTGAAGCCCAGAGAAGAGATTAGCTCAAAGGTCATACCCTTTATGAGTGTCACACTCAACTCTTGAAACTTCAGTCAGTAAGAGCCCAATGGAATTTTGAGAAAAGCATTTTATACAGTCATCAGTTGGAAGAAAGCTGAGAAATGTCTTATTACGGAATGGGTCTCCCTGTGGAGTCAGGGAGAAAGTTTGTGTTCTATCTGTGAGGTAGTTGCATCTGTGGAGGAGAAAGAGAGAGGATGATGTGAAATTTCTTCCTTATCAGAACTGATGTAAAAGATATATTCTGAAGCAAAGTCTGTGGGGGGGGGGGGTCTGGGAGTAAAAGTGCCAAAATCACAGTCACATCCCCCAGCCCCTTATCAGAACAGTCCACCTCTCAGTAGAATATTCATTCTCATTACTCATTAAGCAATCCAGGTTGACTGCCTCCTGTTGGGAACATCCACTCTTCCCAGGGTATATAAGACAGGCCTCCAGGAGGGGTAGGCATATTTCTTTGCACCATATGGAACTTTTACAAAAATTAACCATGTACCAGGGCACAGAGATACTTAGTGCAAACAAATGTAGTAAGGCAGAAATAATCCATATATCCTTTCATTGCATGATGAAATAAGAATGGAAATTGGTTCAGTGATCACAAACAAAGGATACAAACCCAACTGAAGACTTAACAATGATGTCTTAAAGAATGACTGAGTCAAAGAACAAATCACAGAAATGGTGAAGAATATTGGAAAAGAAAATGAAAATGGTGAAACAACAAAGTGTGGAGGCTGGAATTTAACAAAGGACAAGCAGAAACAATCATCCTAGCGAGATAGCCTTTGTGAGGCTGGCATGCACCTGGTAAGAAAGGGGCCTTAATGGCTCACCTCCATTGTGTGCCAAAAGATCAGGAATAAGAAAGAACTGGCTGGGGGTTTTATCTCTGGCTCTGTCCTCCTGATTGGCCTGACAGCACATCACAGGGGACTCCCTTAGCAAATGGGGACATTTTAATGAGGAGGTGGGCCAAGAGTTCCCAGCTTCTCCCCATTACTGAGAAGTGCATGTAAAGGACAACTCCTGTGGATTCAGGGTCCCTATTGCTTTACTAAGGCTTGTGATGAATGAATTCTGACCTCCCTCAGTATGCCTGCAGTTTGACCCTGACTCTTCTTTCATGTTAATCTTATTCCTAGCTAGATGTAGAAGGACCCTTTATGGTATCTGCTCCCAAGAATGGCTGGCCACCCTTCCAGGAACCGGATATTCATGAGCAGGAATACTCTCAAGGATAGTTTTGACAGCAGCTCCTTCTCCACCAATCATGCGTTTATTTTGGCAAATGGCCTTCTTTGTTAGAGGGAACTACTAGAAGCAGGTAGCCCCGACTTTACCTTCAAGTCTTCCCAGGGTGCAGGTGTTAAGCCTGGGATTTTCCTGTTGGGACTCTGGAGGCTGAAAACTAGCCCATGTGATCCAGGTATAGATGGTTCTCCTGGCTGTGACAAGATTTGATACCGATTGAGACTTAAGTTTGTTATTGTTATCTGCTGGGACTTATTAACTCTATACTAGGTTACTATCTTAATAATAAATACCTTTACTATATACTTATATATAAATGGAACTTGAGACTGTGTTATTTCTAAACCAATCCAAACCAAAACTAATTTAAGCTGCAGTAAATAAGGCTGCTTGGCAATACATAGCTGGGGCTGGGGCACGGGGTGGGAAATGGATTTCAAATGTGGCTGACCTGCCCCTCTCTGGCACTTAAGAAATGCCATGTTAGCTGGTTTCTCTAGCAATCTTTGGCTAGAAAAACATAAGGGATCTCAATCAGGTTTTCACTGGCTCAGTCTCTCTTTTCTAGACTAGGTCATCCCAAATCTTCGTGACGTTCATAGCAAGGACAATGCAACAAGTCCTTGGGAAAAGGTCTGACTCCAGCTGGCTTTTCTTTATAGATTCCCTGCCCTTACTTTGGTTTATGGGATGGTCCATGTCCAGGTAGATGTCCTGAGGCCTGAGAGTAAATTAAATTCCTCAGCTAAAAATGTGCTGGGAAGGGCTTCTCTTTAAGCTAACATAAGAAATGGCCTTTTAAACAGAGAAGGGAATATTACAAATTAATATAAATAAAATGATACAGCATTAAATTAATTTTCCTCAATACTCTAATTTCTGGGTTTCAGCTAAAGCAGTCGACAGAGATAAAATATATACTTATGATTGTACATTAGGAATACAGAAGAAGAGATTAATAAATTGAATATGTACTTTAAAAAATTAGGAAATCAACAAACAAACCTAAAATAAGCACAATAGAGAAAATATTTTTAAAATAGAGAAATAAATAAATTAGAAACAAAAAAAATCACAGAAATGACCAAATGAAAAGCCGGTTCTTTGAAAAGACTAATAAAGTTGATAAAAACCCTTGGCTCCTCTGATTAAAAGAGAGCAGAAAATCAAATCAATAAAATAGAAAACAGTAAAGGTAAAATCACAGCAAACCCGGAAGAAATGAAAAGGATAATCAGAACATACTATATACAGTTTTATGCAACAAACACAAAAGAACCAGAGGAACACCTCCAAAAAAGTGACATTACTCAAACTATCAGAAGCCAGGAAAATTCTATCAAATTCGTAAAGAGCGGTTAGTGCCCATACTTTACCACACACACACACAAACACCCCATATCTGTGGAATTGAAGATCGCTGGTATCTGTCCCTTACAGTGTACGTCACCCTTTGAGTGGATATGTACCTGCCTGGCTGGATCCTGTATTGCCTTTTTCAGGCTGTCATCAGAAGGACCCTGACAATTCTTGCAACACAGGATCGCATAAGGTAAAATTTATTGGGTGCCTGGCACACAGTAGGTGCACACCACCAGTCATCTTACACCTTACTGTCTTCCTCTCTCACCAGGGACATTGGCTCAGCCTCCTGGCTTCTTTCAAGACCCTACTGATGTCTCTCACCTTCTGAAAACCTATTTTCCTGGTTCCCAAAATGTTTAGATCTTCCCTCTCAGAGTACCTCCCTCCTCTACTGTGGAGGGCTTGTTTGGACACAGCTGCTACCATGTCACCTCCCACATTAGACTGGAAGCTCCTTGATGGCAGGCCCTGGTTTTTTTCCTTCCTTTGTATCCAGGGAAGTTTTGAACACTGCCTGGCACAGAGTAAGGCCTTTCTAAATGCTTGTTACCTGGACCTAAGAATGGGTAAAGGAGAGGGTTTCAGGGAGACCCGGGAAGGCTTGTGTGAGCTGAGGCAGGAGGACATGAGCAGCACCAGCAGCCCTGCAAAGGACAAGAGCTGGGGGGCCTTCAGGGCTCTGCTCAAGTCCTGTCCAGACAAGACTCAGCATGAAGGGTTTCCTGGACCTTGAGCTGGTATAAGGGAAAGCTTGGCCACAAGAACCAGAGAGGAGAGGGTGGTAGGCAGGCTCAAATTTGATCCCTGCTGAAGGGCCTAAGGAGTGAAGTGGATGTCCTGGTCAGCAGGTTAATGAGGGTGATGAGGATGACAGCTAAATCCCAAAAAGGAAAAATCCTGGACTTTCCCACTTGGCCAAATCTCTGTCGTTTGCCTGAGGCTACAATCCCATCAACTGGTCTTTCTTTGTAGCTATACCCAATCTCCCAATTCTGTAACCCTTAACCTAGCCTAGCCCTCCTTTTGGCCCCTGGCCATTTCCCACACTTAATCCTAGCTAGGCTCTATTTTCCAGGTCCCAGGAGTCCTGCCCATTCAGATCCACTCCTAGATCCCTCCTATAGTCTTTCTGTATATAAGGTTCATCTCATCTCCATTAAGATGCTTGGATTCCTAAAATGTAGCCACTGCTCAGATTTTCACAATCTAGCCAATAGGTCACAGATGCTCAGATTCCTTAAGAGTCAAGCTAACATGGTGAATCTTCAATAAACCTTGTTTTTGGCTGAAAGAAGGCTTGAATTCTTTCAGGCAGGACCCATGTGTCGTGATTTTGGTATTCTAGGACCCCTAACCTCTAGACCTCATCAAGGGGACCTTAAAAACAAATAGGGGAGGGCAGCAATTGTGAGGAGGGGGTTAGTGCTCCAGATGCCAAGGTGACAATGAATCAGTTTAAAATACAGGAGAGCAGGGCAGGGTGGTTACTTCTGTATTCATTTCATGCCTATTTTTATAAAGAAATGATCCACAGGGAAAGCATTGCCAGCTTCATGGACATTCCTGTGGAAATGGCCTGTATGGCTGAGGTTCGTCAAGTCTGTGGACAGACTGCACTCACCTGAAATGGGGGTCTGTGGCTCCCAGGGGCCATTCCCTCAGGCTCTGGGTTCCCTGCTTGGGGAGGGCCTTGGTCCTCTGCAGACTAAGCTGGGGAGGAAGAAGGACTCCAAAGGGGGAAATGTCCTTCCCTTCTCTTCCTAGGCAGGAGGCTGGCCTACAAGGGGTTTACAGAGGGTGAGGTCCCACAGGGGTCACAAAGGCCCTGGTGCTGCCCTCAGGGCAGACTTCATCCTGCAGAGGGAGGGAGGCAGCAGGGAAGGTCAGGATTGGAAATGAAGATGGTCTAAACAGGAAGACTACTTCCCTCCCTTTCTTCTGCCTCCTTCATTCCCCATCCTCCCACATAGCACCAAGAGGCAGAAGAGGTTTGGGATCTCAGATGGGATGAGACAAGTCAGAGCCTCAATGGCTCCTGAATCAGAAATCTCTTTCCAACTGTTCCTCTGCCCTCCCTGCATCCCATCTCCCCAACCAACATACACATTATCTAGATAACAGACTGACTGCTTGATCTAAAGGGGAAGAGAAGGCAGGGAAGGCAGAGGATGGGGAGGGCTCTGGGATGGAGCCACCAGGGAATGACCAGGGGGTAGCTAGAGACTGGGAGAGAAAATTCAGTCTGAGATTGAGCCCCCTGGTAGGGGACTTGAGAGCTCTGAAAGAAGTGGGGTCAGGGAAGCAGGAGGCCTGGGGAAGGAGAGCAGGGGGAGGGGCTGGGAGGGAGGACATCCTAACACAGTACATGGCAGAGGTCAGGGTCCTGAGAGTGACAGAAAGGCTCCAGGTGGACACTGAGCCTGGGAAAGCAAGGAGACTGTGTGCTGATGTGTGGGACAGCGACCCCAAGTGAAATTAAACTCTGAAAGTGGAAAGCAAAGGTTACCTTTAGTACAGTCTCCCGAGATGGCTGTCTGCTCCTCCAGTACATGTGGGGGGGGGAGAGAGAGAGGGAGAGGGAGAGGGAGAGACAGAGGGAGAGAGAGGGAGAGAGAGGAAGAGACAGAGGGAGAGAGAGGGAGAGGGAGAGGGAGGGAGAGGGAGGGAGGGAGAGGGAGGAAGAGGGAGAGGGAGAGAGAGAGGGAGAGGGAGGGAGAGGGAGGGAGGGGGAGGGAGAGGGAGAGGGAGAGGGAGAGGGAGAGGGAGAGGGAGAGGGAGAGGGAGAGAGAGGGAGAGAGAGAGAGAGAGAGAGAGAGAGAGAGAGAGAGAGAGAGAGACTGCCTAACAGGGGCCGCCTTAGAAAACCAAATCTCCGCCCACCATGAAAACAAACAAGTCTCCACCTTACCCCCTTAACTGGGGGTGGCCTTACATTCTAAGCTTGAAAGTTTCTTCCTATCCCCTTAACCAGGAGGTGGGGCTTACATTCCAGGTGCAAAATTCAAAGCCAAAGACAAATGGCTCAGGTTGGGGGTGGGGCAGGGCTTATTCTTTCTGTTAAGTGCTTAAAAACAGGGTCTGAGTGGGGGAGGATTTTGAAAGTAGTAATCAAGAATTATTTGACCCTTTGAGGAACCTTCCCTTCTGAGAGTTCATTTCTCACACTACCTTCTGCTCATTACCTTAATTACACTGAGAAGTCTTCACTGGGACATCCCATTCACTGAGGTCTAACTGGGAGCCAGGGACCTCCTGGTAAAGCTTAGGCTCAGAATCCCTAAAGGGAAAGTGGAGACAGGGAGCCATGTGCCTGGGATATGAGAGGGAAGCCACCTGAGAGCTGTGGATACAGATAAGGGGCCAGGAAAAAGCTTGGTTTCTGCATCCAACGTGCGGTCCTCAGGGCAGGTAGAGCTGGATCCTTACAGGGTCCTAGGTCTGAGGGCTGGAGCTCGGGGCAGAGAGACAGGACTCCAGGGTCCTGATAGGAAGGCTGAAAGCAGGACTTCAGGATCCTTATGGGCAAAGTTTGAAGTCTGGGAAAGTGTGATCCAATGGGAAATCTGCGGAGGGGGACCCTGGACATTTGGGAAGTGTTGGAAGTCTGGAAAAGAGTTAGGGGCAGGCAGCTTGTCCACTGGCCAGGTCAGGGAGGCAGGCATGCTCCTGGAGGACTTGGAGGACACTCGCCATGAGGTCAGATGAGGAGGAGGAGACCCAATGACACTGGCAATGAGGAGAAGGCAGGACCTGTGTGGGGCCCTGGCTGTGACCTACCTGCGACCTGCACCCACAGTGCTGGCTTCCAGAAGGTAAAGAGATCTCAGCTCCAAGGAAGAAGGCAGAGAGATCTTAGCTGCAAAGGAAGAAGGCACAGCAGTCTCAGAGGCAAGACTTCCTGCTTCCAGCCAGCGCACTCTGCGAGGGGCCCCACACTGCCCAGCCCCCAAGGACCACAAGATGAGCCCTTTCCTCCAATCACACCCAGGGCCACCTTGCTTGCCTTTCCTCCCCAAGAATGCCTTTGCTGCTGGAATGATCTGCCCTAGACTCCTCCCAGGCCCCAAACTCCAGCCCAGGCTGTATTCCACCTGGGCACCACCCACCAGGCTGGTAATCTCTGAGAGCTGCTCCTCCCCCATCTCTCCACCCTCTCCTTCAGTCTCTCTGCCTGCTCTGGGACTCAGAACCTCCCTGTTCTGAGCAGAAAGGCTGCTAAGATAAAATGTGGGGACCAGGCTCTCTGAAAGTAGCGGGGCTGCACTTTGAGATGCTGGCAGCAAATAGCCCTTGGGAAAACTGGGATTCTATAGACCCTTTGTAACTGTAAATTGAGATTCAGATTGGACTGAGTTTCTCCTGAATTAAATTAAACTGTGGGCTCATTGAAAGTCACATGTGTTCTTCTGTAGGAACAACTGGGATGTTTGACCCTCTACAGGTAGATCAGACCTTAAAGCAAAATACACTTAAAAATTAGCATTAATAGGGCAGCCAGATGGCACAATGCATAGAGCAGCGGCTCTGGATTCAGGAAGACTTGAGTTCAAATTTGACCTCAGACACTTGACACTTACTAGCTGTGTGACCCTGGCCGAGTCATTTCACCCTATTGCCTCACCCCCCCCAAAAAAAAATAACAGTAAGGTGATATGTTTAGGAACTGTAAGAATAACAACTAAAGAATAAAAATTTTAATTGGATCATAATTATTCTATTCTTTTCTAAATGTAATCAGTCTAGAATGTCAAAATTGATAGATGATTAAAGTGATTTTTCCCCACGAGATAATTCAGAAATGCATTCAAATGAGTTGATATCATTTAACTAGCAATTTTGTTTCATGTTTAAAATCTGTAACATTGTTTATGTAGTTTTATTATATTTCTAGTTTTTCTCATTGGGATTTTGGGGAAACCATTGTATAGGAAATGCTGTTAATTTGGAAAATTAAAATAATGCAGTTGTATCCTTAGAAAAATTAACTCCTCAGAGGCAGAAACAAGGTGGCTGAGAAAAAGCTGGACATTCCTTGAGCTGTCCCCAGTTTCCCTCAAAACAACTCTAAATCAAGCCTCAACACGAATTCTGGAGTGACAGAACCCACAAAAATATGGGGTGAAGCAATTTTCCAGCCCAAGAAAACGGATGGGTTCTGCCCAGAAGGTCTGTCTCACTTGTAAAAAGGGAGGATGGCACAGCAGGGACCATGTCTGGGCAAGCCAGCAGGTGTGCCTAGCCCCAGCACAAATGAGGAAAGGAGGCCCAGTGGCCCAGCTGAGCAGCACAGCTGACCAGCTGTGAGGCCTCCACCCCCAAAAGCCACAGCAAGCTGGGGAACAGGCCCCTGGCCCCCAGTGCCAGAAGCTCAGGAAGGTGCACCCTGGTGCCCCAGGAACAGCACTCAGCTTGAAAAGTCATGAAATAGGCTAGGGAATGAGCAAAAAGCAAGACAACCCAAACCAGATCCCTGACCACAGAAAGCTGCCATGGTGACAGGAAAGATCAAAACACAAACTCAGAAGAGGACAACAGTGGCCACGTGCCTTTGTGCCCCCTCGGAGGGGAATACGAATTGCGCTCAAGCCCAAAAAGTCTTCCTAGAAGATCTCAAGAAGAGTTTTAAAACCCAAGGAAGAGAGGTAGAAGAAAAACTGGAGAAAGAAATGAGAATCATGAAAAAGAGTTAGCAGCTTGGAAAAGGAAACATAAAAATCCACTGAAGAAAACAGCTCCTTAAAAAGCAGAATTGTCCAAACGGAAAAGAAGCTATAGAAGCTTACCGAAGAGAATGATTCCTCAAAAATTAGAGTTGGGCAAGTGGAAGCTAATGCCTCTATGAGTCTGAGAAGGGAATTATAATTTTCATATTATCGATACGGTATGTAATGAGCATAGTAATAATTTGGTTTCCTCAAGAGCTGCCCCTCAGGCTCTGGGGTCAGAGCTCACAGTGCAGCCTAAAGTAATGAACCCTCACAATCACTGGACCTTAAGTGAAGTGCATCAAAGATCGTAGAACCTGTTCCCATCGCAGAACTCTGGTTCTGTACTCTAGGGAGGTGGTCACAACCCATAAAGACTTGACTCCAGAATTGTGTTGTGGGACTTGGGGGTTTCTTGTGGGAAACCACTAAATGACTGTTTGTAATCAGTCTTCCCTCCTCTTTCCCCATGTGTGATTTAGGTATATAACCTGTGCTTTTATTTCAGCTATGAGAACAATGTTCATGCTGAAGTTGATTAGTTAAACCACTTCATTGCTGGCGCTCCTGTCTCTAGGCCTGCTTTGTGGGGCTCCAGGCATTCCCAGGTTAGTGACTGGCTCAGTAAAAATCCTGTTAACAAGCCACACAAAACACAGGAAGTGGCCTAGCCATGCAAGATCTCAAGCTGTATTACAAAGCGGTAATCCTCCTTCTGTAGATGTGACACCTAAATGATTCCTTGCTCTCCTAATTTGCTTATGGTATCACCCTTTACATTTAAATCATGGACCCATTTTGACCTTATCTTGGTCAGCTTGGACAACTCCAGGAGAAATGCCAGGAGCAGAACAGAAGTCTTTACACCACATTTGTAGATCTGACAAGGCCTTTGATACCGTCGGTCATGAGGGCTTATGGAAAATTATGTAAAAACTTGGGCTCCTAGAGAAGTTCAGCAGCATTGTACACCATTTCCATGACAGCACGCTTGCCCGGGTTCTGGATAATGGACAAGGCTCCCTCGCTTTCCCAGTCACCAGTGGAATAAAACAAGGCCGTGTGCTTGCTCCATGCTTTTTAGCATGATGTTTTCAGCCATGTTGTCAAATGCTTTCAATGACGTTGAACATGGCATCAAGGTCAGCTACCGCACTGATGGTCAACTCTTCAACTTGAAAAGGCCGGAAGCCAAGACCAAAGCGTAGGAACAGTTGGTGCGTGACTTTTTGTTCACAGATGATTGTGCACTCAATGCAGCCTCTGAAGCTGGGATGCACCAAAGTATGGATCGGTTCTCTGCTGCTTGTGCTCATTGTGTTCTTTTTTTTTTTTTTAAGGCAATTAGGGTTAAGTGACTTGCCCAAGGCCACACAGTTGGTCTGTGGCCGGATTTGAACTCAGGTCCTCCTGACTTCAGGGCTGGTGCTCTATCCACTGCGCCGCTTAGCTTCCCCCTGCTTGTGCTCATTTTGGCCTAATAATCAACACCAAGAAAACACAGGCTCTCCACCAGCCACCACCACACCGTCCGCACTTGAAACCATCATTTACAGCGAGTGGAGAAGTTTTGAGGGCTGCGGATAAGTTCACTTACCTTCGTAGTAGACTTTCTAGGGCTGTTGACATTGATAAGGAGGTTGAGGCATGCACTGCCAGAGCTAGCTTAGTGTTTGTGAAGCTCCAAAGGGAGAGAAGTATTAGACTGACTGCCAGACTGGAGGTCTACAGAGCCCTTGTGCTGAGCATGTCAGTGCCTTGCCAGGAAATGGAATCACTTCCATCTGAATTGTCTTGGGAAGATAGGTAACAGACACTGAGGTCCTTTCTAGAGCTGAACTGCCAAGCATTCAAACTCTGCTTCAGAGAGCATTCCTTCGATGGACTGGCCATGTTGTTCAAATGCAAAACATATCTTGCCAAAAAAGACTATGTTATGGAGAACTCACACAGGGCAGGTGCTCACATGGTGGTCAGAAGAAGTAATACAAGGACAACTCTCAAGGTCTCTCTGAAGAACTTTGGAATTAATGGTGTGACGTGGGAGACACTGGCACATGACTGCCTCTTATGGCATGCCCTCATCAGGGAAGGTGCTGTGCTGTGTGAGCAAAGCAGAATGGAAGCAACTCAAAAGAAACATGAGATGCGCAAATTTAGAGAATCTACCCAAGTGTTCATGTGCACTATTTGTGCCCAACTTGTGGTAGAACATTCTGAGCTCATGCTGGTCTGATCAGCCAGTCGGACACACTGTAACTGGACCCTGGCATAGTGATGTCACTTTGGTCCTCTTCAAAAATGAAGGACAACACATAACTTCTGCCCTATTGTTTTCCAGTTTTCCCAGCAGTTTTTGCCAAATAATGAGTTCTTATCCCAGAAGCTGGTTTTCCAAACACCAGGTTACAATCATCATTTACTACTGTATCTTCTGTAATTAATCTATTCCATTGATCCACCACTCTATTTCATAGCCAGTACCAGATGGTGTTGATGATTACCCCTATATAATATAATTTGAGATCTCATACTGCTAGGCCACCTTCCTTTGTATTTTTTTTCATTAATTCCCTTGATATTCTTGACCTTTTGTTCTTCCAGGTTAATTTTGTTGTTATTTTTTCTAGCTCTATAAAATAATTTTGGGGCCTAGATGCTTGCTGGTCCGAAGGGGCGGCAGAGGAGCTGAGCAGCTGACGCTGGGTCTGCTCACAGCCATTTCCCCGTCCCCCTTCTCCCCTTCCTCCTTCCTTCCTCCTTCCTTCCTCCTTCTTCCCCTTCCCTTCCCTTCTCCCCGACCCAGCTCTGCCTGATCAGGCCTGGCCTGGTTCCGAGGGGCGAGCAGAAGCTTCCCAGGTGGAGACACAGGTGGTGTATATCTGCCTCTTAAAGTTGGGAAAAAGAAAACAACTTTTTGAGTAATAAAGATGCCTCCTAAATTCAAGCATCACCTAAATGATGATAATGTCACTGGTTCTGTTAAAAGTCAAAGGAGAAATCTTTTGGAAGAAGATTCAGATGAAGAAGAGGATTTTTTCCTAAGGGGCCCATCTGGACCAAAATTTGGACCTTGGAATGACAAAATTAGGCATGTACAGAATCAGGTGGATGAAGTAATTGATGTCATGCAAGAGAATATTACAAAAGTGATTGAAAGAGGAGAGAGACTGGATGAGCTAGGAGACAAATCAGAAAGCTTATCAGATAATGCAGCAGTTTTGAGCAACAGATCTAAACAGCTTCAAAGGAAGACTACTGTGGTGGCGTGGATGCAAAATGAAGGCCATCATGGCCCTGGCTGCTGTTATCATTTTGCTGGTGATTGTCATTCCCGTTGTCCTGAAATATCAGACTTGATTCAGTGACCAGAGCTCCAATAAAACAGTTCTGGGACAATTAAAAAAAAAAAGAAGATTGCTGCATAATTTAATGAACTATATATATGACTTTCAAGTGTTTTTTCTCCAGAAGTGAAAAGGCAAGTGTCCAGTTCAAATTGAAGCATTGACAAGTTCCCGATTAGCCGCCTCACCTTCACCAAAATATGCTGTCATTAATTTATTTTAAAACAAAAACATCTACTTTGCCATGTTGTAGGAACCTAATTTGCAACTGGATCCTTGCCAATACGTTATTTGTTTATAGAGTTAAACATTGATGATGATATTTACAGTTTAACACAGTTTCCTACTGTAAACTAGGGAGGTGGGAATTTATTGCATCAAGTTCAGGGATAGGGTGGGAGATAAGAGGTTAAACATTATGTAAAAAGGGATGGCAACCATTTAGTTAATGATTACGAAATGTATGAT